TATGGTGGACGGGTGTGGGTGATGGAGGTGGAAGACGGGTTGAGGTGGCCGGCTATGGTGGACGGGTGTAGGTGATGGAGGTGGAAGACGGGTTGAGGTGGCCCACTATGGTGGACGGTGTAGGTGATGGAGAAAGAAGAAGGGTTGAGGTAGGTCGGCTATGGTGGACGGGTGTAGGTGGTGGAAGTGGAAGACGGGTTGGGGGTGGTCGACTATGATGGACGGGTGTAGGTGATGGAGGCGGAAGATGGGTTGGGGTGGTTGGCTATGGTGGACAGGTGTGGGTGATGGAGGAAGAAGAACGGTCGAGGTGGCCGGCTATGGTGGACGGGTGTAGGTGATGAAGGAAGAAGAAGGGYTGAGGTAGGTCGGCTATGGTGAACGGGTGTAGGTGGTGGAGGTGGAAGATGGGTTGGGGTGGTTAGCCATGGTGGACAGGTGTGGGTGACAGAGGAAGAAGAAGGGTCGAGGTGGTCGGCTATAGTGGATGGCGTAGGAGGTGGAGGTGGAAGATGGGTTGGGGAGGTGATCGGCTATGGTGGATGGGTGTGGGTGACGGAGGTGGAATATGGGTCGGGGTTATTGGCTATGGTGGACGGGGGTAGGTGGTGGAGCTGGAAGGTGGGTTGAGGTGGTCGGCTATGGTAGACGGGTGTAGGTGGTGGAGGTGGAAGAAGGGTTGAGGTAGATCAATTGTGGTGGACGGGTGTAGGTGGTGCAGGTGGAAGATGGGTTGGGGTGGTTGGCTATGGTGGACGGGTGTGGTGGTGGAGGTGGAAGATGGGTTGGGGTAGTTGGCTATGGTGGACGGGTGTAGCTGCTGGAGGTGGAAGAAGGGTTGAGGTAGGTCGGCTATGGTAGACGGGTGTAGGTTGTGGAGGTGGAAGATGGGTTGGGGTGGTTGGCTTTGGTGGACGGGTGTGGATGATGGAGGAAGAAGAAGGGTCGAGGTGGCCGACTATGGTGGACGGGTGTAGGTCGTGGACGTGGCAGATGGGTTG